CCAACCTCTAGGTTGAAGGTCAGAATCCTGCTCAAACTAATTTGGTTTACGCTACTTGGTAATGTCACTAACCCTCCCACAACAAACAATATGGCCCAAGTCTATGAAAACAACTTTCATGAATCAGTAGATAATAGTTAGTTGAAGGAGATTTTAGAAATGTCTGATTTTTTGACTTTTATTATGAACCTAAATTATAAATTAGTATAAGGTATTTTCTTATAAATTCACTTTGAATTTATTTTCGACTTATAATTTATGTTTTTAGGTGTGTTAAAGAAAATACACCCATATTGAAACGTTTAATGGAACTGCGAAAAGAAGTAAGTTATTTTATTTGTACCTGTAATTAAATAATTTCAATGTACATTAGTGAATTGAGAGTGGATGCTATTCACCGATCATTATCATTATTAGTACTGGTATTACTGCAACATAATGTAGCGATGACATTCACATATACACTTTGGACTACAAACCAAACTGTATTGTGATATAGCTTCCTTATCTTGTTGATTAGATCATGTTAACCAGTGAAAGATGTAAAAACATTGTCCACAGATTTACTTTTAGCTGCTTATTCCAAAAACATTTAATTCAGTATAATTCATCTATTCTGTACAAGTTCATGTACACCCTGCTTCATGTCACACTTTTTTCAAGCGCTTTTATAGTCAGCCAGTCACTAACAATGTAGAATTTGTATGTGCGTACATCATTTCGAGTTGCCATACCACCTTAGCACAGAGATGCATTTGTCGATTCAAATTTCGTAGTCGTAGAAGTAGTAAAAGTATAAGCTGTAATCAGATACACTAGGGTTTCAAGATGTTATTCAAGGAGTATAATCGAGTGAAATAAATTGGGAAAGAGAAAAAAAGGAACATGAAGAATTCAGAAGATTAGAATTTGGGAGAACACAAAGAGTGGACGCACCTGCGTCATTGCAAACGATTTCGAGCCATGCCATTCAGGGTCTCTAACCATCGGTTGCTATCGTCTCGCGGATCCCAACCAGATAGTCTACACTTACCAACATGCCTCAGTCCACTTGTCAGTGACTTCATGGATTTGATCCATGCTTTGGTCTGGTCACCTTTATCTTTTTTCCAACCTACTACACCGACGTGCGATACGTCGGGGCATTCTGAGGTTGGGCATACGTAACACATGTCCCAGCCATCTCAACTGGTGACGTTTCACTACTTCATCAATTGATTTGCCATCCTTACCTAGTATCCGTTTCTTAACAACTACATTACTTGCTCGGTGGTCCCAGGATATACGAGCAATGCTTCAAAGACACCTATGATCGAATACTAGTTAGGACATTGCGATGTTATAGTAAGTTAACCGGAATTTAAACCTTTTAAACCCAGTAGTTGAAAGTTTGGTTCGTAATGACCATTAAACTTGTAATTAAAAAGCAGTGATTTGTATTAAGGTTTAACCATTTATTATGTATATTTCCATAGTTTAAATCATGAGTTGACCATAGCTAGATGAACATCGAAAATCTAGCAGTACTCGATGACTGTTTCGTCTTAGCATGGGACTCCTCAGCAACGCGCATTCTCGACTCCCATGCGGAAATTGAACGCAGGACTTTTCGCTCGCGAATGCTTAACCTGTAGACCACGAGTTCCATATATTAATGATAGTCATGTAACGGATATTTCATCTTCATCTATGTCATACACTGACCACCTGTTAAATCTATCTAAGCGTCTAGGTCACCCGATTGAGATACACGTGAAACTGAAGTTCCAAAACAACGATTTGTTTACAATAGCGGTTCTTTATTGAATAATACACAAAATTTAGTTACAAACCTCAACTTTTGAGGTGTCTGGGGCATTTAAACGCGTCCTTCAAGAATGAAATAAAAGGGCTTCCTGTAACAGTAACACGAAGAATAATTACAACGTACGATAGTACAAAGGACAGCTGATAGCTGTGTCTAAGTTTGCTAACAGCTTATGAACAACCGAAACCCGAACTAAGAGCAAACATTGTGGAAACTTTTGCGTTTAAACAGATGCACAAAACTGTGGATAACCGCTACAGTGATTATGATGATAAATACGATGATAAGTACAATAAACGTTATAAGTATGTGTGAACATCTCAAAATACTACACTACAACTTGCTTTACAACATAAGTTTAAAAATTGTTGGAAATACAACTGCTTACTGAATGTAAATAAGTAGTGTAAAACAATATACAAAGGAGTGGAAAGGGAGCGAGTAGGAACAATGTAAGACAAACTTAACACCACCTCTCCGCGTTTTCCAACCAGTCCTAGCGTCGGCAAATAATGCACGACGTGGAATTCTATGCGAAGACATTCGTAGGGCATGTCCAAGCCACCGAAGCTGATGTTCCAAGGTTGTGACACTAACTGAACTGTCATCGCTGTGTTCGAACACACGGCACCGAACCTCTCCATTACTAACATAGTGTTGCGTTTGGATTCTTCGGAGATAATGATGACCAAACACAGAGAGTCGTCTAACATCCTCAACTCTCAGAGGCCAGGTTTCACAAGCATAGAGCAAAACTGCTCTCACCGACGCGTTGTAGATCCGACCTTTTACAGCCAGACTTACATCACGAAGGCGCCAAAGATGGCCCAGATTGGCATAAGTCGTTCTGGCTTTCACTATACGTGTATTGATCTCATCACTCACGCCACAACCAACACTTATGCAGCTACCTAGACACACGAACTTCTCGACTACTTCTATCTGCTCACCATCCAGGGTGATTAGAGTTAGAATCCTGCCAGTCTTGTAGAATTACTTTGCACTTCGAAGGTGCAAAGCACATGCCGTACCTACGGACATTAATTGGCAACTGATTTAGTGCGGATTGCATGCCTTGGGCTATATCACACAGTAAGACAATATCATCCGCATACTCAAGGTCGAGAAGTCTTTCTCCAGGCAACAGATCCACACCGCCATTACTTACATCCATCAGAGCTGTTTCCAGAATGTCATCGATGGCAAAGTTGAAGAGGAATGGTGGGAATGAGCAACCCTGTCTAACCCCACTGCTCGAATGGAACAATGGAGAAAGGTGGTTATATGGCCTCACTGTGCTTGAGGTGTTTGTATATAGGGCCTTTATGACGTTAATAAACTTCTCAGGCACACCCTTCTTCAATAGACAATCCCAGAAAACAGTCCTGTCCAACGAGTCAGAGGCAGCCCTGATGTCAAGAAACACTACGATTGTTGGCCTTTGATAAGTATGACGGTGTTCTAACATTTGGCGGAGGGTGAAGATGTGATCAATACATCCTCGATCAGAACGAAAACCAGCCTGCTCCTCGCGAGTCAATCTTTCTCGAGTTCTGAACAACCTATGAAGTATAACAGAAGCCAAAAGCTTGGACGCAATCAGTAGACTTATCCCCCGATAGTTGTTACAGGAACGACGTGAACCCTTTTTAAAGATAGGGACAACTATCGACTCATTCCATGATGTTGGTATACTCTCTAGCTCCCAGACCTTTGTAAACCACACAGTCATTTCCTTAGCCAGAAAGTCACCACCATCTTTAAAAAGGGCCGGAGGTAAGTCATCTGGGCCCGGTGGTTTGTAGCGTTTCAAGAGTTGGAGTTCCTTGCGGACTTCCGCCTCATTTAGTGTATAAGTCGTCACAGGCCATGGAAGGCAGAACAGTCGAATCGATGTTGCTGGGGAAGCAGACCAGTTGAACTGCCCTTCGAAGAACTCTGCCCATCGTTCAAGACTCCGATGGATGTTGGTGGTTGGAATCCCATCATCCTCGCAGATTGTTTCACTCACACCAGACTTCTTGCTGCCAGTAGCTCGGATGAATTGAAAGAGCCTCCGGTAGTTATCAGATGCAGCTGCTGCTTCCAGCTCATTGGGACGCTCCGACCACCAGGCTTCTCGGTCCTTATGCAAGCTTTGTCCAATTTCATTACGTAACATCCTTCGTTTGTGGTCAAACTCACGGTCACTCGAAGTAGACCGACTGGCTTCAATGAGTTGTAAAGAGCCTGAAGAAACCTAGTGCTTGTAAGCGGGATGTTTCGCAAACCCGCAAGTGACTTTACTCGCCATTTTCATGGAATCATGTTATTGCAACTAACAGTCTCCTATTGGCATATATGCATCCTGTGCGGATTGCCTCGATATTGCCTTCAGTCACAAACACTATAAGCTGCTAGCCACCATCTAGTCTTGTTGCACTGGTTGAGCTGGTTCATTCGCCATTTATCTTACCTTAGATTTTAAGCCCCAGTATTTCATCAGATAAACATTTTTATTCCGTGTTTTTGTACACTATCCTCAGTGATGAATAATTCTCAGTATGATTGCTATTACATCACTTCGGCTTATTCATTTTATAGATGTGCTAATGTGTTATGAAAACTTGAACTGTTGCACATCGATACCATACATATATATCTTAAGATCTTTCTTTGTACATTGTAAGTGGTTGTGACTTTCATTTTCTTCTATTACGTATTCTTATGTATAAATTTATTCTTAGCGTGCAAAAATTCTTGGTTTTCCTACACATGCTGATTTTATGCTTGATTTACGTATGGCTAAAACTGCTCTCAACGTTGATAAATTTTTAAGCAACGTTGGGACTAAATTAAAGGAAGCTCAAGTAAAAGAGACTGCACGTTTATTGGAATTGAAAAAAGAAGAGGTAAGATTCGGATAAGCAAATTGATGCTTTCTCTTCATATTGTTCTATTGTGTTTCGTAATTATAGTTGTCAAAATTTGTTTTACACGTGACATTGTTGTGAAGTTACCTTTGAGCAATATGCACTCGGTCTCAGCATGTTTAGACTAGAATGAATAAACTTGGAAGTAAACATAAGCTATTAAGCGAAGAAATTTATCTTTTCGTCGATTTCATTTACTCAAGCTGTACAATCGTATTTATATTTGTAATAATGGCTGTGTTGTAATCCTGCTTCTTCTTACGGTTATGACCCAGCTATTCCTATTGCTTAGTATTCTCGGACACCGATTCACTCGACAAGTCCCCAAATCAAAACACGGTTGAACAGGAAAGAGATTATATTCCAAATAGCAAGTCAGAAGCCAGTAGGAAGCACAATAGAGAAAACGTCAGTATATTTATAGTTTTTACATGAGAAGATTCTAGAGTATTCTCCAATTATCGACTAGTGCTGATTGGATAAGAATTAGCCAATCAGAGTGCACCAAAGCAATCATGCATTGAGCATGCTTTAATCCAGCCTATGTCCCGCTAACACCTCCCCTTTGAGCAGATTCGTAGGATCTGGTGCTAGGGTCCAACTGCAACTGAGTGACTGGCTTGTGCTTTCGATTAGTCCATCGTCTAGGCAATGAAGAATTATCACTTTTTTCTTGCACAGAGACTGACATGTCTGTTCCCGGCGTTTTGATTTTTCTTAAAAAAAAGTATGCATAACTTTTAATTCTCCAACATTCTCCTCCTCCGCGAAACAATGTCGGATCCTTATATCTCCAAGTTACAAATAATAGGACTTTATTTAAACGACGTTTCTCGCATTGAATGTCGGATCCACTAGAAACGACTAGATGATAATGAACGACCTTTGATTTGAGGTCAAAGTTTAATTCTTCTGAAGCATTACTTTCAAATCCATTAGGAATTTCATCAGTGGATAATGGATCATTACGGAAATCATCATCTAACAAAATTAAATTAGACTTTTGACCATAATTTGACTCAGCTGATATATTTTCCTGATTTTTATGAGAAATTTCATCAAAATAACATGCATTATTCTGAGAACCCATATATGATACATTGTCATTAGAAATCGGATAAGCTGATTCAATATAAGTTTCTGTCTCACAATGATTTTGAGTAACATTCGGTATAATTGGGTTCGTTGTGTCACTGCAGTTATTTTCTGAATACGAGTCCCCATAGCTTTCTTGGTTAATATCACGTGGACCATAAATTTGTTCTAGCTGAAAGTTATTTTCAGAGCTAGACAGGACCAGTAGTGCTTCATTCAATTCTGGACTCCGGGCTTCATCTACAGGGTCTGGCTCTTGATAATCTCGTATTGCCACAACTTTATGAGCATTCAGCACAGGATTTCTTGCTGTGAGCCGGAAACGTTACAAATATTACGTTCTGATTCAGGTATAAAGGGATTTGAACCCTCCACTAGATATCCTTCTGAAATGTCTGTTACTGCATCATAAACAGATTTCTTATTTTCTGGTCGAGTGAAAAGTGTGCTCAATAGTTGTTGTTGCAAGGCTAACAACTTCTGCTGGTGCTGTAATATTAACCGCAACTGTTCTAAAGAAATCGCCATTTTTCTTTAGTTTTTCCCCGTCGCCACTGTTGTAATCCTGCTTCTTCTTACGGTTATGACCCAGCTATTCCTATTGCTTAGTATTCTCGGACACCGATTCACTCGACAAGTCCCCAAATCAAAACACGGTTGAACAGGAAAGAGATTATATTCCAAATAGCAAGTCAGAAGCCAGTAGGAAGCACAATAGAGAAAACGTCAGTATATTTATAGTTTTTACATGAGAAGATTCTAGAGTATTCTCCAATTATCGACTAGTGCTGATTGGATAAGAATTAGCCAATCAGAGTGCACCAAAGCAATCATGCATTGAGCATGCTTTAATCCAGCCTATGTCCCGCTAACAGGCTGATTAATAGATATAAAAATAATGGAAAAGGAATTAAAAAATGATAAATTATGGGAGTTAGAAAAAAAATTAAGACCTTGGTAGGATAAGGAATCAAACACACTGTTTTTGTACGTAAAGGTTAGGTTTAAATTAGTAAGTGGCTAAAGCCTCTGCTGCGTATTATTCTGTACGGCACTTTGAACACTATGTGAAAGGATAAGAATCCCTTTTTTCACCGACCATAAATCCTTGCCCTTTCCCCCTCACTCGTCTTCAGACAAGAAAACGTCACAGGTTTATCATCGATGAAAAAAGTGAATTCCTGACCTTCCACATAGTGTTGAATGTATCACACAGCACAATACAATATTATTATTATTATTATTGACGGTTATATTTAATATTATGCGAATGCCTTAATCATCAATAGTATGCTTGGGGAAGTCTAGGGAGCCGGTTTCGACCCGATATTTCTGAATATTTATAGTAGTGCCATGTCGTTTGAAAACAAGTTTTAGATGCTGGAGATGTGATTCTCTGACCTGATATTGAACCAAACAGTCATCAACATACGCATGCACGAAGTCAAGACCTCGGAATACGATAAATTTGTGAAAAGTTTGTTCGGGATTTAAACCGAAAAGCATGAGCAAAGGTTCGTAGAGTCCAAAAGGAGTGACGATAGCCGTTTTAGGTCTGTCGTTTGTAGCCATAGAAATGTGCTTATACGCTTTAGCGAAATAAAGGGAAGTTTGACCTTTCAAGGTAGCTGTTAGGTGGTGGATTTGCAGCAAGGCGTAACAATAGGGATTGACTTTTTCGTGTTACGTCGCTGATAATTACTAGTTGGATGACAATTCTCGCTGTTCTTTTTAAGGTCTATGTTCAAAGGAGATGCCCGTGGGGTATTAATGGCCAGGTAATTCTCAAGTTCATTATATAACCGAATTCGTTTTCGGCCAATGTTGGATTTTCGTGAGCTGTTCGCCATGCTTTCGAGAATACAGGTGGTTCTGTAGTCGTAATGTGGTGTGTGACAATGCTAGTTATACACGGTAGTTGCAGTCGTGTTCTGTACAGTTTAAGATACTTGTCGAGTATCGATCGGAAGAATGAATCGATCATATGTTTAATCGTGACCAAGCATAACCTACAGCCATAAAGTGAAATTTCACACACAGATAATTTAGTATTTCCATCTACTAACCTCCGTTTCTTTTCACCGATGAGTAGATTATCAGATCTATACCAATGATTAGCATAGAAACGTCTGCAAGAATAAAAATCCTGTGTGTGGGCTGGCGTGAACCCACGTTAAGGTGAACAAATCTTTCACCTTTGGCGGAGATCGGTTTTTCACTTGCCACCTATAAGTTGAAGACTAGATCTTGTAAACGATCATTAGTATTCACAGGAAGGACCATCATTCACTACTCTCGGTGATATTTGTGTCACACTCACCATGGTTGAACTTAGTTGTTCACGGCTTCCCATTATAACTTGGATAATTTGTTAGTTACAAGTAATCGCATTATTATTATTATTATTATTATTATTATTATTATTATTATTATTATTATTATTATTATTATTATTAATTACAGTGTGTTATATTGACTATTTATATGTGAAAGGGTCGTGGATGCTTACTGCCACAAAGTAATAGTTTCACGCTACGTTAGAGGTAACTATTGGATGCCTCCTGATTTATAGTAGATTGTTTAAGTGAATTGATTCAATGAAGCAAAACTTTGAATTCCCATCTATTCATGCTGTTAATTTCATCTCCTATTTTGCTAATATGGTTTGACAATTTGAGGTGGTGCATTTTATTCTTACCCACTTCTGCGTTGATAGTAAATGACTGACTGATAATTATGTAAATTATATTCTATTCTAATGTATCATATTCGTTACAAAAACATGAATGTCGCACTACTGAAAAGTTCTAATCTAAGTCGACACAATCGCTTAATGCCAGTGCTCCTTTATTTTTAATCGGTTCTACTCATGTGGTATTTTCGGACCATAATGAAGATCCTTTTCAGTTGTATTCTTCTTTCCGACCTTCATTTAATGTATATACATGGTTTATTTCTCTCTTCCAGTGTGACCGTTTAGGATATACGTTTAATAATTGCCTAAATCCATGGGATACACGATATTATATGAATATGGTTAAAGAACGAGATTATTCCGTCGATGAAGTGGCTCTAAAGAAATATTTTCCATTGGCCACTGTAAAATCAGGTATATTGCGATTGTATCAACAACTGCTTGGTTTAAGATTTGAGCGTGTTTCGAATGCAGAAGTTTGGCACGAAGAGGTAGAAATGGTTAGTTTACAAATTTGGTATATTGATTCTTCAGTTTGGTCAAGACTGTATTGTTTTATTTCTAGAGCTAGCGGTATAGTGCTCGACTTCCCAAACTGAAGTAGTTGAGTGTGGGATTGAGACTTATTACATTGTGATTAGATTTTACATAGTGATAACACAGTGGAGCTATATTAGCTGGGAAAATGATCCATTTAGGTTCTACAATATCAGGAAGGTCGCTTGGAGAATATAGTATAGTTAAAAGCAAGAGCTGAGAGCAAGTCTGAGAGCGATATCGTTGTACTAAGTGTACTGGTATGTGACGGCAGTAAGCTGGTGATTCTCTCAGACAACTAGCATTTTCAGCGATGCTGCTTTCCGATAACGGACTAAAAGTATTAGAAAGTGTAGGCTCTGAAAATAGTATAGGTCAGCTTGTCCTACGGATTTCTGTCATCAGTGGTAAGTTCTGCACGGAGCTAACACATTAAGAACTACCCCCAAATAGGCCTTGTGTGGTCGGCCTCGAACACTTGTCATTTGGGCATTGTGGTTGCGCCCCTAGGTCGTCAAAATCACAGTGTTAGCAACCAGGAAGTAAAAATCACTCTGGTTACATAGAACAGCACTCAACTGATCAACCCATCGCTATACACTTGTTCAAGGTAACGCTTATATTATTATTATTATTATTATGGATATCCTTCAGACTGTGTAGACGGAGCAGTGACTCTCGGTTTCGGTGTTCGACGTTTAGCCACTAAGTTGCACGTTTGAACCTCACCATGACTACTTCGGTTTCGTCAACGAAATAGCATCGATAGCCGTCACTTGAAGTGTGTCTCGAAGCCAAGCACACAAATCTGTACGCGGTTAATGATAATATCCCTACTGCTACATCGATATATTTGTTGAGTAATGAATTTCAGAAACTCGATTATATACTTTTGTAGTCGATGATATATACGCACATATTGAATTATGTAAGGTCTATGCCTTGGTCATCAGTCAATTCAATTGTTACCTTCATCTATGAATTTAATGTACCTTGAGTGTTTCCCTGTTGAGTATTAGCGATTTATATTACTAAGCATTATTTCTATCTAATTTGTTGTATGAGGGCTAAACACAGTTTGTAAAGCTTATGTCAAACTACTGACTATTCAAGTGCAATTCAATCGATTCGTAGTGTCAATAGTTCTCATAAACAGTATGAACATGCAATATTTGTGTTTATAGGTTGAGAATTCGTTTATCTTGGAACGAAAAAGACATTCAATTTATGTGAAATACTATATACACTGTCTTAATTTTCCATAAGTATGTACAAGTGATATCTGTCCAGGTGAGCTAACTCCTTCTATTGATTCATCTGAATCGTGTAATCATTCGAGAGATAATTCTAGTGATGAGTCGTGACTGGTGGAGTCTAACGGTATCAGAAGTGGGGCAGTTATCCACCACTGGTGATGGTTGCTCAATATCACATATTGGTTTGAGTTAAAAATGTAAACTGCTAGATGCGAACTCAGTGGTCTAAATGTTAATTTCCCACCACTAGTCCTGGGAATTCTGTGTTCAATCCCCAATGGTGTTATAGATGCATACTACTGACAACTTTCTTACTGGTATGAAATGGTTATTTAGTGCTTCTAAGTCTTCAACAGTTGTTTAACTAAAGTCAGTCCTTGATGTAAACTATTTTCAAATGTTATCAAAAACTTAAAAATCATTTAATTTTGTAATTAACTGTGAATCTCTCTCTCTGTTTGTCTGTATAATTTTTCGTTGTAGTATTCAGTGAGTGATTCTCAATCTGATAGTTTGTTAGGTTATTTCTATCTTGACCTGCATCCACGTGAAGGTAAATATGGACATGCAGCTGTATTCGGTTTACAACCAG